CCTCTGCTCTGCATCTGTGTATTAAGTTTGGTGGATATATCTCAAAAACTGAGAGACTAATAGACGGACTGGCATGACCAAATCTTGTCATTCTGACCCGTTTAGGAGAAATACCCCAAGCGATTAAAGAGAAGGATTTACGTTTGAGGCAATGAGTGATCCAAGTAGAGGTACTTTGTCAATAAAAATTTTTTTGACAGATCAAGCGTGAGTCGTGTCAAGCTGTTATGTTACAATATTTTTGTTCAGTATTGTTTTGCATTCCATCATGAAAAGACTCGTTTAACTTTATCACGAAAATTTAAATACGGGCTTCGCTCAACTTATGGTCAACACGATCACACTACTGAGCTATTTATTATTGTAAAATATTCGCCCGTATAGATCACGTCCAGCTCGCAGTGAAGAAAATATAACCGGTCGTTGCTGAGAATATACACGAAGACCTAAGAGAGCCGATTCGGCGCCATTCGCAGTAATTCGGACTGATGTATGGAACGGCTTTACGTCGAAATGTTAAATATAAAACGTACAGAATACAGTTTGTACAAGAACTGAAGCAGCTCGAACTGCCCAAGGGACATCGCTTCGCTCCATGGGCTCCAGAAAAGTTTCAAGAAGATCCGACGTTTTCCAGCCAAACTTTGTTCAGCAATGAGACACATATCTGGCTCGATGTAAACAAACGAAATTGCGTTAACCTGAGGAGATTCAAGAGCTGCCATTTCATACAGAAAACACAATGGTTTGGAAACCAGTGGAATCATCGGCCCATATTTCTTTAAAAATGTTGCCGGTGAGAAGCTCAAATTGAAGCTGTGATCTCGGCGCCACTTTCCACACATCGCACTAATCAATGGATATTTGACGAGTCGATTGGTCACTAGGATCATTTGATATCATACCGTTAGACTTTTTTCCTGTAAGGATATATCAAGTCTAAAGTCAATGTGGACAAGACCGCCTCGATTCAGTCCTTGGAGCAAATTCGCTTTGAGAAAAATTTGAAAAAATACTCGCACAAAGTTCTTCAACTTAACACTGCACTGCTTGTTTAATTGCAGGAAATGAATGTAAACGATGGGAAGTTTTTTAGTATTTGATGATCCGTTCCTCATTTTTTCACAAATTTATTTTGTATAAATAGCGAATTTTGCGAAATTCCATTTTTCAATCATGGGATTCAGAAAGTTTTTTCACATTTCTTTTCTTTTTAAATTATAACATTTTTTTCTTTTAGTTTTTCTGAGTGCAATAAAAAAATGTTATGTAATGCATACTTAAAATGCCTTTGCAAATGGTTCAGGCGAAATAAAATCAATTTAATTATGCCCATTCGAAAAAGTTCTGTATAAAATATCACAATAATTACATTTTCCTTAATTAAATGCCAATCAAAGGTACCGAACGGCTGATCGATAAGCAAGCAAATGTTTTCATGCATACACATGTCACTGATACCAAAGCATTCATACATACAATATATACGTACAGCTATGAATATAGCGATTTGATGCAGACATGCTACGAATACCGCTGAGCCCGAAAATGCCATAACAAACTAAAAATCATAAAAGCATTATGCAAATAAGCATACACACACACATTGCAGCCGACAATAACACCAATTTAATGCTGAGGTTGCATTATCACACCATTGCAGTGCATATAAAAATATATTTGCATACGTACATATGTGTGTGTGAGTTGGATTTCAGTAAGGATATAGTCGTACGAAAGACCGAGAGAAATAAAGCGTAACTGGCAAGCTACCAAAGCCAAGTGAAGTGAAGTGAAGTGGAGCACAAGCCGGGCACGCTGCGGCAAAGTAGTGAGAGAACCAGCGGGTAAGTTGACAGCAAACTACCAACACTTGCATATGGAAATGCATGCTATCTAACACACTCAAGCCGGGCCAGACCGGGTCATCATGCCGGCAGTCAGTCGAGTCGTCACTCACTCGTTCACTCAAACTTTCAGACACCCGTTTTGTCTTGTAACTGAGGTTGGCGTGCCTGCAGACATGTGATAAGGTTAGTTAGTGCAACAGCGGCAGGCGGGGCAAGCCACAAAGCTTAGACGTATTTCGTGAAAGATATAAAAATGGAGTAAAATGACAAAAGAAAAAAAAAACGTACAAAAAATAAATCGATTGAATAACGTACTGAAAAGGACCGCATAAGTTTAAATACATGCATACATACATACAAATGCATGTACGTTTATATTACCGGTATTATTTTAAGGAAACGAAAGGAAAGCAACGATAGCATGAATCACCAAAGCCGCTGGTGCATACCATAACCTTTTCACAACCGCAAACGGACATTCATATGTACATATATACAGCTCAGTTAAGCCCGAACGAGTCGTGCGGAGATTCTTTAGAATCGTTAAGCAATACAATTACTTCAACTGATGTAATGCCAAGGAGCACAACGTGGCTAGTACTCGTAATCGTTGCTTGCTTCTTATAGTTTTTTCATGCTAATATATGTGCATACATATATGTATGCATGTATATATAATCAAGAAGGTATGTAAAAATGTTTGACAAAAACAATAACAACATTAGCCGGTTTCCCAAACACCACATTGAAGCAGAACCTGCACGACGTCCGAGTAGAAACAACGTGGTTGGTTGAGGGCAGCGTTCATTCGAGGCCTTCCAGTGAACGCTCTTTAGTGCTCAACTCTCTCGCAAATATTTAACGAATGTTTTCATAAGCTCTCTTGCGCTCCGTGAGCCTGAAATGTTGTATCGAAATTCTTTTTACTTCGAACGCTTAGTATGCGCAAAGTGTGCTGCATAGAATTCACCACCTTTTTCGCTTTGGTGCCAACCTTTTTTTGTTTTGATTCATTCCATATCTAATACCACATGGATCATATGATATCGATTTTTCATTCACGCCTCATATTTTACACCACTGTCTTTTACGAAAAATTTCTCTCCGTTTCGTTTCCTACACTTTTGTCGCGTCGTTCTTGTAATTTTCTTCAGGCAGGTAAATACTTATGAAAAAAAAATGCTGCCCTTTTTATGTCACCTTCGTTTGTACTATCCTTTAAGGGATATATTCACCCAACCACTGCACTGATATACGACTCAACTCGAAAAATTGATGGCAAATTGCGGCAAGTGCATAAATTTGGAAGCTTTATGTCAGTATTAGAGCTCAGCAGCAATAAAATTGATATTGCATAAATATATATATATTTATATGATTTCGTTCGAAGGGTTGTTTGCAACTTGACTTTTCATTCCATGTGATTAATGAACTACACTGCATTCATTAAGTATTTATGACCATACTAAGAAGATTAATATCATTTGAGGTATACGCAATTATGTATATGGAATTCGGATTAAGTCGGTGTCAGTGCCGCCGCTTCCCAATAGGAAATGTTCCAACTTAATAGCGGTCACATAATTGGAACTCATAATAAACAATTATGTTAAATGTAGTTTTTTATTATATAAAATATTTATGCTTAAACAAAAGCTCTTAAATGAGGCAAGGTTTTTGATCACAAATTTTGTATTTACGAAATATCTTGTATTATTTTTAGATTAATTCTTATCTATGAACGAAGAGTTATAAAAGTAAATAAAAAAATAATATATTATAAGTTCACTTAAAATAAATTTTACGACGGCAGTTATAACAAATGAGTAAAATTTTTCTATCATTCTTTTTTTAAATATGTTTTTTTTTAAATTATTTTTATTTTATTTAACTTTGTTTCGTTTTATTTTATTATATTTTATTTTATTTTATATTATTTTATTTTATTTGATTTAATATGAATTTATTTTGCTTGATTTTGCTTTTATATTTAATTTTATTTGATTTTCTTTATTTTATACATTTGATTTTTTTTGTTTGATTTTATTCTATTTAATTAAATTTTTTTTAATTTATTTAATTTTACATTAATAATTTTCTTTTATTTCATTTTTTCCCTTTTATTTCAATATATTTAATTTCAAATTATTTTATTTTATTTGGGTTTATTTGATTTTATTTGAATTTATTTTGTTTTATTTTATTTGATTTGATTTGCTTTTAAGTGGTTTTAATCTATTTATTTTTTTCATTTTATTTTGTTTTACTTTGTTATATTGTGTTCTTTTATATGAATTATTTTGCTTGATTTGGTTTGGTTTTATTTTATTCCATTTTATATTATTTTATTTGGTTTTATATGCATTTATTTTTTTTAATTTTATTTAATTTGATTTGATTTTATTTGCTTTTATGTGATTTTATTTTATTTTTGTTTTATTTCAAATTGTATTATTTCCATTTTATTTAATTTTATTTTATTTTATTTTATTTTATTTTATTTTATTTTATTTTATTTTATTTTATTTCATTTCATTTGATTTTATATGAGTTTATTTTGTTTAATTTTATTTGATTTGATTTGATATTATTTTTTATTATTTTATTTTATTTCAGTTTATATCATTTTCATTTTATTTAATTATATTTTTTTTGGAACTGATTTTGTGTCATTATATTTGATTTTATTTAATTTTATTTTTTTAATTTTATATTTTTTTTCAATAAACTTGAAATAAATTTTTGTTAATTTGCTTTATTTTTTAATCAACTTTATGCCATTCTTTCTATTTATTTACTTATTTATTCATTTTTTAATATATTTAATTTTTTTAATTGTTTTTTTTTCTATAAACTTTTATAATTTTTTTTTTAATTTTCTTTATTTTTTTAATAAACTTTATTTATTGTTTTTTATTTATTTTATATTCTTTTAGTTATCTTTTTATAATTACCCTTCTTTCTATTTATTTATTAATTTTTTAATATATTTATTTTAATTTTATATTATTGTTATTTCTTTTATTTTACTTTCCTACACAATCCCTATTTTAAATATCCGTATTTTTTGTAATTTCAAGTTAATTATTTAATAAAAATTTATTATCTAATTTTAAACATATATGTACGTGCATAACTGTAAAAACTCACCTTGTCGACCGGCATTGATGGGCACGCTCTACACAAATTCCAAAATGATCCGATCATAAGGAAGGTTTTTACTTTTTAGCACAAAAACTTATTAAAACCAAATCACCAGGCAAAAAGTTTCCGATATTAAACGAATGGCGATGACACTGCGGAAGGCAAGCCACAAATTTTAGCTGGAAATGCACTGTGATTGTACGCAATATATCAGCTTATCGAGGGAGGACTGCTTGACGGTGTGGGTTGGATGGCGCCGATTGATGCGACAAATGTGGCGCCGAATATTTTATTACGTCTTCAAATTCCAATAAATGACCGCGTTTAGAATAAACAGAAAACACACATATATTTAGTGACACATACTTACGAAAGTGAGTATTAGGAAATAATTTTATTTATTTTCTTACTTTTCGCGATGCGATTATTTTACGCGTAACTTGAGAAACAAGTGTGTGTCTTCCTGGTCTAAAAAGTGGACTACAAAGTGTTTGTTTTATTGCGTATTGTATTGTTAAGTATGAATATATGTATGTAGAGACAGAGAAAACATGCGTTGCGTTTTTCTTTTTAATTTTTTTTTTCTTCCTCTCACCAATTCGCTTATTGTGTGGCAGTTGTAGAACTCTTGTTAACCAAGTTGTATAGCCAACGGCGAAGATAATGTTTTTCTGTTTGAAAACGTGTACGCACGTGGCTGCATAACAATTACAACAACAAAAGTGCGATTAAATTAAGTCACTAAGATGTGTATGTTTGCAATTTTCGCTTTCAATTAGCATACATACAAACAAATGCCAAATTTATGTATGTATGTCCTTCGAGTATTTATATTTGAAGTTGGGTGCAATTGTGTGTGGGTTCAACTGGGTCTTCTTTTGGGACGTGGATAGCAAGTGAAGGCAAAACTGCAAAGCAAATTAATTATTTATTACCAACACCCGTGAACAATTGTTCCACATACACACTTTGCTCTTACACACATACAACTGTTATGTATGTCCATGCAGATGTGAAAACAAACATGCGGATGTACATTTCACGTTCACGCACACACATACATACACGGGTGTTTGTACATCGTTGATGGGCGCAATAAATTTGATTGCCTTTGGGTGTTCCGACAGTGCCGTTAAATTTTTAATACCAACGAAAATTGTTTCAAAGCTGAGTGGAGGGCTTGGAACAAAATGTGTTGCATCTTTGTAGGCGCACAGGCAAGGTGAGTTTTACATATGTTTGAAAGTTGCTTATACAAGTTTACTCGTATAGAGTTACATACAGTCAAAGGAATGCCGACGGAATTTTTTCGCATGCACGTAATTAGTTAAAATTTTTATTCCATTTTAGCTTAAATTTAATTGCTAATGAAACTTTTAATAAATCCGCAAGGCACTTCGCGACCTTATTAAACTTAAGGTAAACGGTTTCTGTTCGATTTTTGTTAGCTGATCAATATTGCGGCTGTGTCATAGTTCAAAAATTATTTGAACTTTTTTTAAAACCCTTGAAATCATTTCTTCCATATATAAAAAAAAATGCTCGTACCGCTGGGTATCAAAATCTGTGCTTATAAAGCAAATCAGCGTCGAACTCGATGGCCAATTGACATCGCCAAAGCGAATGATTATGAGGCCAGGAAATTTCTCTCGTAATAAAGCCTTATTCGGCTATGTCGTATGGAATGTTGCATCATCTTGTTCAAACCACACATCGACCGAGTCGTGTTCTTCAATTTCAGCTTGAAAAATGTCGGTTATCATAACACCATAAATTGGATTTGCAAAGGAGTAAAATATACTCTTTATGTCTCTCTTCCGAGTGAGAAGTTCACTTTGTCGCTGAAAAGTTGGAGTCAACAATTTTCTTCCAGCACTAGCATTTAGACAGACTTCCACGAAATCTTTGAAAGAGAAGTGTGAAACAGCGTTATCGGTCGCGATAGCCTCATAGGCGGCTTAGTATAAACTGTATATCCCTCAATTTGTTTGAAAAACATCAAGAGGCAAAACTACAAATTAGAGAAGGAGCTCGGCCGAAAACCGCGTTATCAGGTGCGGTGGGACTCACATATTATATGATAGCAGACTACTGCTGGAGTTTTTTGAAACGAGATTTACATGAAGCTGTTCATTCAAGAAAACTTTAGAAATATCGTTCGGTAGTATTTAATTGAAATTTTCTTAAAATAATGTATTTATTTAATGGAATTTTTTTAATAGTATCATAAAATTTTGTAAATCCGAAAGCAGAGATATTAGCAATTTCAATGATTTAATCATGCAATAGCAATAGAGAAAGCGAGCATATATGGGATGCGAAGCGAGTTCTATCATTTTATGATTCTGATAACTTCATCTTACTGATTTTCAGGAGCCCCATTTAATAGCTTTCCCTTTTTCGAACTTTTAGTCGGAATTATTCAAATCCTTTCTTTTTAATTTATTTAATCTGTTGGTAGATCATATAAACTATGTGAACAGTCCGTGTGGAAATAGAGCTGCTCCTCTCCGTAAGTGCAACATAACGCCAAATAAAAATTCATAATACCTTTACTTTGGATCACAGTCGGCAAAAATGAAAATCGAAAGCAACCACGGGCAAGCAAATTGAAATCTTACGAAGGCTCTCTCTTGTCGAGCTAAACATTAGACAAACAAATAATGGGTACTCATCCCAGAGTAAATTCCGGCTTTCTCTCGATTTTTCATGCAGTCAGGCATGCTTACGATTTATGTCGAAATTTTTGAAGTAAAAATACGATTACTCCATATTAACTTCAAGCTTACAGAGAAATGAAGTAATTGATTGTTGGTAATTCAGTAAGTTAATGGGATATGGCAGTTCTAGACTAACTGCGATTACTACCTTTGATTATTAATTTGCATAGATTTTTGCTTAAGCGCGTTATCTTCATACCTTTCACGAACATGAAATGGTTTATTAAGTAAAATTGTCAGAAGAAGAAGAGATAGATCCATCAATATTTATATCGATATAATCAGAACAATGCCAGTCCTGCTTTTTGAAGGGCAGTTATTGGGAAATTTGAACGAAACTTGGCACACAGAAGCACTTGATTGAATTAAACAAAGTTTCTTGGAAACCGGTCAGATCGGACTACTGTAGCTTATACACGACCTTTTTTCAGACTACAGTTTTTTAGTCATAAATCCATCAAAAAAGCATTTTGTATGCTACACACGAATAAACATTGACACTGAAAGCATCGAAAGCCACATCATTAATATTTAGTCCTAAAATTAAGTACGCAAAAACCAAGTCCTGAGCTGACCCACGGTACGCAGCAGGCTCAGCGCAAACCAGTTGAGCCACACTCTTTGAGGCATCCGACGTTGGCACTCTTTTCTAGAATATCCAGATAGTATTATGATAATATTTAAAATATTATCAGACTCAAATCTTATAAATATATATATATATACATATGTTAGTTATTGGATTAGAAATCTTGTGTTAAGATGCAATTTGGGGAAAAGTCTAACATTCTGAAAACACTATTACGAAAATACCTTGTTCCGTAACGTCGTAAATTCTTTTAAATATTTCATTAATAGCTTAGCCTCACAGGCTCGAAAGTGCTTATGACTCTGTGGTTATCGGTTTCGAAGTTAAGTAATTTAAATACAAAATATTGAATTATTTTCCTTTTTTTTCAATATCCGATTTAAGCCTTTCGATCAAGAAACCAATAAAGTAAAGAAAGCTTATATTATGTGTGTCCCTATAATGAATGAAGTAACACCTTCTCAATATAACTTGGTCGAAAAAAGCAGCTCACGATAAGCTACGAAATTGATTCCGTCAACTTCCTAGATACTAGAGGCAATGGTGCTTAGAAGCATAGTGCTCTTCGGCACTCTCTCATTTAAGTGACACTACGAAAAACAACCCATAGACTCCGGTATGTTCATATCTGTACAAAAAGGAAAACTCAACTGCGAATCTGCTTGCGCCTTCTTTTGAAAGTAAAACGAAACATCAAGGCGATTCGAAAGCCATTCAACCACAAGAGACACACATGTCTACATAAATATGTGAGTAAGTATTGCGCATATGTACATACACGTATGTATGGACAAGTGGTCGTATGAACTAAATATATTAGATATATTTAGTGACGACTAGGCACGACTGTGTTTTGGCATGCAAACACAAATGTACGTAAAAATTTAGTATTCGTAATAGTGATGGCGATGGTGATCTCACACGTTCATTCGTGGCTGCATGAAAATTTTCCTTGTGGTACATAAAAACGGTGCCATCAATTGCCCAGCCGTCTGCTTGCCTAGTCGCCTGTGTGCATGCTTCTATGGTAGTGTGCATGTACATTGTATGTAGGCGCACTCGTATTGTGCCTTCCGGCCTCAGAGTCTACAAAGCTGGCTTTGTGCTCAAATCGATTTTTATCATTTGCGAAATCTAATTTTTTCCACTTTGTGCTAATAAAAAATAAATCAAGAAGAAATTGCGGAAAAAATGCTGTTATTTCTGCTTTTTTTTTACTTGCTGCAATAAGGGTGTGAAATGCAAATTTGCTTTGCTTTTTGTGGCAAAATCGATATACGTCAGTGAACTAGCTGACTGATCGGCCAACGAGCAGGCTGACTAATTCATGGCATATTCTTGGACTGGTTGGTTGGTTGGTTTAGTATTTCCTTGCTTATCTGGCTGGCACCCAAATGTAGGCAATCGAAGTTAACACTCCTTCAAACAGTTGGAAGATATGTCACACACACACACACAGGCACACATGTCCCACACACCGTATTTTTCACCAATTTTTGCACAAAATCATTGATTTTCGTACGTGTTTGGTTCAATTTCCATCAATTTGCAATTCTTTTCGATATTTTTAAGCCATTTGTTTAAAAATTGTAGGTTTTGAAATGAAAATTTCTTCTGCCAAGTTTAAAATTCTTTTACTCTTCTACTATTTGTTGTTGGATTTTCGCTTCGCAACGACGCGTCCGATAATTCACGATAAACAACACGACTCGACGACGGTACGAACACGACTGGTCCCTTTGTCAAGTTGACTTTTAGCAATCTCGACCATCATTGCATGGCTGGAAGTTTGAATCGTCTCTTACGATTTACCTCAGAATGAACTCAAAAGCCACTCACCCTTCTCCTCCCACCGCCACAGCTAACGCGAAAGGAGTGGTTAATGCATGTACGTGCGAAGGTGTGCACGTACATATAACTGGAATGAATAGCCAAAGCAATTGTTGCTATTCCTTCCAATGATGGCGCTTGGCATTGCCTTCAACTGCTGTTTTTGCTATTCGTTATTGTTCTTATTGTAACTGCTGATTGTCGCAGTCATATGGTTTGAAATCGCCGCGCATGCTAACCGGGAAATTGCCGCATATTTATACGTATGCCTTGATTCTGTTTCGGCTTTTCTTTTCGTTCCATTGTTTTGTGGCGAAGGCAAATTGGTGTCCTTTCGAGTTCTGACGAAAAATGCAAGAGTTGAAAAAGTCCCAAGCCCAAATGGAAGTGGAATTTAAAAGTTTCTATGGAAAATATGAAACTTCTTGTAAATATTTAGTACCTGTAACGGTTTCTTATTTTATTTATAGTGTCAAAAAAGATTTAGTTTCGAATATGATAACAAATGTATACATATTAGAGTTCGAGAAAAGGAGCAGCTCGCAACCGCAAACAAATTTCAATTTTGTTTTTTCTAAAATTTTGATTCACTTCATTATTTTCACACTTTTCGTAAAAACTTTTATAATTGTAGAAAAAAGTGCGGAGAAAAAGTTTGGATATAAAATGTCTGTAAAGGCATGTTTTAGTTGATATCGAGTTCGAACTCTAAAATCTTGGAGTAATGGGCATCAAACAGGTGTTCGAACTATTCGAAACATTTCCGAACAAAATCTTGAGTTCCAATACATAAAACAATAAAAGTAATCTGTAATTTATGAAATTCTTGGGAACAAGCATCAAATCCTGACTTAAACGACGTTGTATTGTTTCACTATTTAAAAATATATATATGTACGTCTTAGTATCTTTCCTCCAAAAGTGATCTTCTCATATAAATCACCTCCGGCGATTGGGGAAATCTTCTGCCTTAAGTACACTTAAGCATTGGAAAGGCCACGGTTCGAATACTGCTCCAACCAACTGTGGTCGCCCTTCGGAATGAATAATCCAACTTTCGGAACGTACGTTTATTTCCGACACGAAACAATACCTGCTCATGGAAATTCATCCGCGGTGGGGAGACTGTAGGTACCACCATTTTTTGGAAAAACGCACACCACAAATTTGAGCGGAGCTCGGCCCAATTTCGCTAAAGCGGTTATCAATTACATATTCCAGATATGGGGTTATTCAATTCGTTGTTTCAAAAGTACAGGGTCGCGTCTTGACATCTGTCAAACTTAACTGCCAAGCTAAATATTTTTCATTTAATTTAAAAATCAATCATTTAAGACAGTGGATCGCTTAAAAAGCGCTTAACGCGTTTGGTTATGGAATTTTTTTTGTCAGGCTACGCGAAAGACCGTGTTTATGCTGAGAACTTGATAAGCAAATTATGGCTAAGGTGCCGCCCCATAAGTTCCATAAAGTGGCCAAAATTACCTTAAAAGGATCGAAATTTGCAAAAATTCGCTAGCCGAGTGATTTGAATGGTGTGGCTTTGTTAAACAAAACACGTAAACTTAAGATATTTGAAATGCTTTCTATATATATTTATTTTCGAAATCTCAAAATGGATAGCTCTATTTATACAAATAAGAAACCCATAAGGGCCTTCGAATGTGCTAACAACCTGAAGTTTGGAAAAGAAATAAGTGTGTTTAAACAAAATGAAACCGATGTGGTGAGTTTTTAAATTTATCAAATCACTAACAAGTAAAATGAATTAAGTACAAATAAAATAATAATTTTTTGAGCTTTAACGAATCCCCTTAACCAAGGAAAGCAGGCAGAGCGTTCTTTTTGAGCCTAAAAGTATGTAATATTAATTTTTTGTTTTTGAGATAGATATACACGATGTACAAGGTACTGTATTGCTTATTCCTTTTATAAAATGTCAGTGACAGCTGTGTGCAGAGTTGAATGAACGACAAGCGCGTCATCTATTGCTCAAGAGTAGAACGTTTAAATTTTGTTCTAATTATTGTTGTTAAAACATTGAATTTTAATATATTTTTCCAGTTATTAAACATTTTGCTTTTTCATTACAACTTATGGCACAATAATGACAATATTTATATAATTAATATAATCTGAATAAATACACGATTACGCTGAAAACAACAGCATAGCAACCCTGTGTTTAGTGGTTGAAATGTTTGCACCAACAACCAAATGACAACCGCGCCGTCTGGCAATCTCGTTTGTGCTGTTCCGCTGAAGGGTTGTGTATTTTTTAGCTCTGCGGCAATTATTCTTTTGCATCTATGAACCGGGGTGTATTAAAATTAAATCGTTTTTTGCAAAAGCAGACAACAAAATAATCAATTGCAATTTGTGTAATTTAATAGAATTTTGCAAAGAGTGAAAGTGTTGTGTGCGGCGTTATATGTTGATTTCATGGCTCTCCAAAGTATTTGACAAAGTTTGTTAAGTGGTTGTTGTTTGTGTTTTGTGTTTTTGGTATTGTGCACATACACATGTGTATGTATGTACCGCATTGAGGCTGGCTGCTGTTGTGTATTGATTAAAAACCGTCGAATGCAAGGGTGAGGAAAGTCTAGGTTTTGAAACGCTTTGTGATTTTGAGTTTATTTTGCGCGTTTTTTTCTTTAACATTGGTTATTTACCTTATGTGCGTGAATGCATGCTCTTCCTATGCATATGTTTTACTTTTATACTCAGATAGTGGGAATCTACCTATAATGATTTACGATTTAATTGATTTGTATATACATACATAGTTTTAATAAAAAATCGATAATTATTTAATTGTTACCAAGATAGATTTAGTATAATTTTTCTACCCAAATGTTTTATACGGCTTTCCACCAACTACTGAATCTATGTTTTAGATCTCCTTATTCAAAAGTAAAGTAAATCTATTTGTATATATGTACAACGGAAGCGGTTATATTTAAAAAAAAAACAAACAAACTATGATTAATGAAACTTTTCTTATTTTTTATAGACAATATATAAGACAATTTTAGGAACAAAAATTCTCATTTACTATCAATAACTTTAACATTATGAAGCATAAGCATTTACTATTTTTGGTTGCTTTAGTTTTGGCCAACAGTTGTATATTATATTTCATGTCAGAATTATTTTATCATTTCAATAATTTCAACACAAAATAAATGTAAAAATTAATGAAAAGAAATTTTCGTTACTACGATAAATAAAGCAGGTAACATTTTATCATTCTATGATACCTAAATTATTATACAGAGGCCTTCATTTAATTAAACGTGCAACTAACTGAAAAACCTTATAAATAAATTTAATTAAATGGGAATAAATGTTTATAATCGATAAATATACGCATATTTCTGCTTATCTGTTTAGATGAAGACCCTTAATTTACATACATACATATATAATTAATGCTTAAAATCAAATAACTCTGCGCTTATGGCTTCAGTAATGTTATATTAAATTTCGAAATCAGTTCCTTTCGAAAGTTGTAAGTTAAACTTTTGGAATTTTATGATTTCGTAAATTAATACATATGCACTGCCTTCACCCGTTACCAATTGAAGTATTTGTTGGTGAATGGTTTTGTCAGTGCATACATATAAACTAGAACATACATACATAGGTTTGCAAAAAAACTATGAAATTTGAAATATATTTATTTAATTTAAATAATTTAGTTTTTTAACTAGAATCATGCATATGTTTTTTAAATAAATTTATAATAATAAGAATAAATTAAATTTTATATGTTATCCCGTTTTCCTCCTAGAACTTTGAGTTCTTAAATATTGTATTGTTTTCCTATTTTTTCTACATTCTTATTTTAGTTAATGTATGTTTGCAACTGTATGTTCATTATGTTTTTCCATTGTGAGTGACTCAATAACTGTAAAACGAAACATCTGAAAGCAAAAATCAAAAGGTTTCTTATTCTGTATCACATTGGCTATGGCCGGAACTACAATGAAACATTTTCACAAAAAAAAGGCGGACTTTTTAATTTTTTTTTTTTTTTCAATTTCAGTATTTTATTAATTTTCTAATTAACATTAAATATTTTTGGTTGTAATACCGACCATTGAGAGACATTTTAGGGGTAAAATTCCGTTTAGTTTAATAATAAGTTCAATAGGTCCTAAGTAACAGTGTCACCTAATTGAAAAAAACGTGGTTTCGAGAAAAAGACGATAAAAGCACTCGGGCGGCCGAATTTAACGCTTAGTGCGCTCCGCTCTCCCCTATTCCATACTTACTTCTTGGTATTGTGGACATTCGAAAATAATTCTATATCACTTCTAAAAGTATTTTCTAGCAATTAAAGGAAAAAAGTCGATTTTTTGAAATTTTTTTTAGAGCAACCTAAAGCAATAATAATCGAAATCAGTTCCTTTCGAAAGTTTGAAGTGTGGCTTTTGAGATTTTATGATTTCGTAGAGAAAACACTCGGCAATACCTTCACCCATTACAAATTCAAGTATATATTAGTGAATGGTTTTGTTATTGCCAACAAAATTATCGAAACTAAGAGAGTATTCAAAATGTATATATATATGTGTGTACGAATATCTGCACTAGTTTATTTTGACATTTTCTTGTACTAATTATCTTCTATATTTTATATACTTTCAGGTAACATGTGCCTCAATACCCGCAAGCAGGGTAAGTTAAATGAAATTATAAACGTTCGTACTGTGGATCCCTATACTTAACAGATACTTAAAAGAATTTTTGGTAAAAATAATCTTTAATAATTTTTGGGTCATTGCCCACTTCGCCCTAAGATAAAATGTTTCTCAAAATGTCACACGTTAATATTTTGCTTTGCACTATTTATGCGCTCCCAGTTCGTGTAATGTTGTGTGGCCATCAGCATGGGGCATTTCGGCTAAAATAAACGAGACAACGCACCGGAAACAAAGCCACAACAGCAAATACTAAAATAGTAAGCATAACATACTTGGTAAACGGAGACAGACCGGTAGCAGACAAGACAACGCACACCATACGAATTTGGCAGCCAGTACAGTGGGGCACACATATGCTTACATACTATACATACATTCGGACTCATACGAATTTAGAAAATTTGTATGCAGACATTTAAAGCGTGTATAATTGCTCACGTAATGATAAAAATAAACAAAAAAAATTAAAATAAAACTGTGTGTGTGTGTGTGTCAGCCAATGAAGACTTTTATGAATTTCGTCTGCATGTTTGTTTTTACTTACAATGTACGGTTAGTTGGCATGAATTTTCAGCTCGATCTCAGACAAAAAAAAGAGAGAAAAAAGACGGAAAACAAAAGCGTACAACAAGGCATGCGTACACACCCAGTCATTTACCGTCAACAAATTGTAATTTGTAGTTGTCAATTTCGCTTTTGCACCTGACGTTGCCAATTCGTCTACGAAACATTAATGCGTCATTTAAGATTTTCTTTTCTTTAATTTATTGTCTGCTCAGAAGAATATGACCATCGTTACAAGGAAAATGCAGGCAAATGTGTTCAAAGTGTGATTTTAGCACATTGTAAAAGTATCAATTAAGCAAACATAATAAAAGCGAATGAAGTAACTAACAACCGTGAAAGCACGAAGAATGCGCAAGTTAAAAAGTGAAAATGAAAATAAAATAAAAAAGTACAAATCGAAGTTCGACCTCATCGCGACATGAATAAGGAAAATACAAACGTATTTGTAAAACTAATGTCTTGTCACGCTGCGGGGAGCTCCGTTAGAGGTCTTGGAATGGTTACCTAGAGTAGGTAGGGGCGCATAAGGCCCTGTCGTGAAGGCTGGGAGCAGACCACTTAACGGGTAGATCACTCCCTATATATCTTAAGGCCGAAGCAGGACTTAATATGACTCCAACCATTGCATCTAACCGAAATGAAGAAATTGGAGTCGTCTAAGTCACACAGAGTGGAGGAAGAAAGTCGAACCAGGGTTGGTCTCATAGCAACCCTGCTGTGAGGTTTTTCTCCGGCGATGCACTCAGCCTAATGTTTCCCGTTGAGTTAAACACCAAAAAGGTGACAGTCCTTCGCCGAATGAAAACCGTGTCTCCTTCGCCGCGTAGGACTGGCTGTTGTGAGAGTTGGATTGCAATTCCTTCTTCTCCGCTTAGTTCTGCCGCTCGCATTATTTTCGCCTGCTTTGTGGGTGATGCATGCGACTTATCAATTCTTCGCCATATTTGAATAGCTCAACCGGTAGCCAGCAGTATTCCTACGGCAGCACTTCGTTATGTCCACGTCGAAACCCCAGTAAACACAAAATTAAAGCAATTTTCAAAAATTCTAACAAATCACAACCACGGCTCGATATAAATTTTGACGTTGTTGTATAGAAGGTATATGTTGTGGTCCTCCGATTTTGATGATATTAGATGACAGTGTCCTCTTTGTATATACATATGTACATGTGTAAAATACCAAATCTCTGGTAGATGCTTTTTATTTTGACGAATTTTTGACCCAAAACCTCACATCTAAAAAAATCGGCTAGATGGCAGACATCCGGTGACAAGTGTAGAACAGCAAATCTCACACTGGTATGCTTTTTTCGACGAATTTTTGATCCCAAATCTTAAATCCAAAAATTGGTCGTAAATCTATTTTCTACAATATATTGGTTCGCATTCTGCCGATCGGTAGAAGTTTTGATGAGTCTATCTCTTTTCCAAAATGAATATACCCTTTATATATGTATGTATGAAAGGTATAAATATCCATTGTTTTTGATTGAATTTTTTAGATATGAGACCGTGTAAAATGTTATGTATTCAAAACAAAAATCAAAATGTATTCAAATTCATCATCAAAAAATCATTGCGCACATTACCCATTGCCTGCTTGCATACTTACCTGAATATTACCGTCGAATTAATGCACAATATTCATTGCCATCGTCGGTAGTTTCTTGCGGCTATGAAACGAAAGTAATCGACAATTTATAAGCCATCTAAATGACACACTTGCTATTACCCTTCATTGCTGATTTACTGTATTTTCCTCTCTCTGATCCTCCCTCTCTCTCTCTCTCTCAAGCGTACTACACTTTCAGTTTTTTAACTATTGTGCCAGCACTGCAAGTTTAAATGTTTATCAATATTTACGTTTACGTTGACATCTTTACCTATTCACCCATTTCTAATGCTAAACTGTCTGAATACCCACTGGTCCGCGCTATTTTCCTTTTAACTTCTACATACGTACGTACAAATACTCGTATTTCGTATTTGCTTACTCTATTTTTACCATTGTCTAGTCACCAACGCTGTGGCTCATTCATTCATTCATTCATTCATTTATTTGCGTTCGAATAGACTTTTCTCTTTGTCTATGCTCGGTTCCACAACTTTTCCCTCACCCCAAACAAATTTACCTACATATTAACTAACGGATGCACACTAAATATTACCCGTACTACTATATACACTTATCGTTGCTGTCAATGCCAAAGTTTTTTTTTTTGCACTCTTTCCGCCCCTACAAAGCCCTCCTATCGTACATGGCAATTCAGCATGCTAGCAGTGCACCCAAGTGTTTACCAAACAAAGTGCGGACAAATGTGCAACGAACAGCAAAAAATTAGCAACATGCTATGTGCCACAAACTGATGTGTGTACTTATGTATTTGCGATTATGTACGCTCATGTGTTGTGCCCACAGCGTCGCCAATGGCAATAGTTAATCTCCTGACAGCCTTGCGCTTCTTTCCACCTCATATGTAGCTCGCCATAAATCGGGTCAAAAGCGTATAAGGAAAAGTGTTGTGGCAATTAAGTTGTTAATGAGTAGCGTTAATGACACTGTTAGTTGATTTGTTGACAAAGGAATGCATGATTCCTATGTAAATATAAGCGTAGATTAGAAATATTAAAAGCTTATATTGGAATTATCCTGTAATAAGCATGTGAAATGTATTTGTGGAAAAACTAGTTTCTACGACCGATTACAATGTTCACTGTCTGAAAACCTCAAGTTCCCAACAGAAGTGTACCAATTTATTTTTTGATTTTCATTTTGATTTTTTTAATTTCATTTATTGGATGAGTGCATAAGTTCGTGCCCGATTCCGCTGGATGCCGTTCGAATCGTTTGAGAGTGGCGCTCGTGAAAGAAATATATACATATTATATATCGTTGGAAAGGTGACAGCCCGAACTGCAAATCAAGCATAAAATAACTTCATTTTGCTTTAACTTGCTTAGTGAAAAAACGCATGGTATCGTTTCTAGCGTTCGCGGAAAGATGGGGTTGTATGGTGGTGACTAGGCGCATTAGATCATAACGTGTTCACTGGCTAAAAACCTATGCAAACACGAGGTTTCTAGTTAATTAGACAATTAGTCTTTGAGATATCTTCAACCAAGCAACATAGTTATGACTTTGTAAAGTTTCTTACCAAGCATGGAAAATCAATTACGATCATAATGAATGATATGTCATTGGTTTATAGCGACCCTTTCCCGTAAAAAGTCATGATGTTTAGGTGGCACAGTTTGCTTTAACAAGAAAGAGAATCTCTTGTGGACGTTCCAAGCCCAGGCAGGAGCATCGAGATGACCAAGCCAGAAGTTATCAAAAAAGTTAAAAAAAAAATTCTGCTCGACAATGCTCAGAAATGATTATATCGGACATCATTTTTAAAATCCTGCACCATCATCTTGGTATGGCTAAGGTCAGCGCTTGATGGGCGCCGAAAATGCTTATGTCCACGCAAAAACAGCAGCGCTTAGAGTGTTCAGGCGCATTTTTGGACTTCTATCATGAAGAAAAGGATGGTGTGTTGAGCCGTATTATTCGTCGAGACGAAGCATGTGCTTAACATTATGAACTTGAGACGAAACAAGACTACATGCAGTGGCATAAAGAGGGTATATCACCTGCCAAGGAGGTTCGCCTGCGGGGTTGGGGTTCAAGAATTTTACCGCGGTAAGGCATGTCTGTCGCAAAAGGCGACTAAAATTCGGGCCTTTTACCGGAAGGGTTGAGTAGGGAAAACTTATAACAATAGTATTTTAGAACTCGTAGGGAATATTATTGAAAAAGAAACTTGATTTGTTTTTCTTTCCATCGCTTAAACCCATTCATCGACTACACGATAGTTCGTGCTATATGCGGTCGGCTCCTTGTAATTTCGATGTACATATCACCTGGCTACCAGTAAATGTGACCCCTCTTCTCTTAGCTCCTATTTCGACCGCAACCACGTCCAATTTCTCACTGAACGACAGTAATGATCGCTTGGCTGTCTACATAAACATGTACTTGCTTTCTATGAAGGTTTGCTCCCTGCAGCAGCTCGGCCGCCATTTTTATAGCAAATATTTTGGTTTAGAAGATATTGCAATGGTTTGTCAGTCTGAAAAGTATTTTTTATCTGTAGTTTAGCGCCGCAAACTACAGTCACCACTCCATCCGTTCATCATTGAACCTGGGTAAATATATTCATGGTTTTGTCAGTCCGCTACCCAGGCATACGCCTCTATTGGCAGCAGCTTCCTGAAAGACGGCCGCGGGGGTATCTAGTCTATACGATCACTTATAGAGATGGCTTTACTGCAACGCATGAAAATCCGGATTTTCAATTGCTTTGAATGACCTACTTTCAACTATGGGGTTTGAGGGTGTTATGTACAGCGCTCCCTTGATGATGATTATGGAATGTCTGAAGAAAAATATATACAAAGCACACCAAAACTTTGAGAAGAAGGTTAAACGAAAATCACTTCAAAAGGTACTGACCCTATGTGCGACCAAGTGCCGAGTATCCACTAAAGTACTCCATTCTTAAGGGAGCAACAAGTTTACCTCTCGGCAAAGGAACCTTTTATTTAGTAAAAACTTAAAACCTTAGTAAGAACAGTTATTTTACTTCATGCCCTAATTCTACTGAAATTTTTATTTGTTGCAGTAAGAGTATGTCTGAAAATAATTTCATATTACCTTGGATTCACTTGTACTCAAACCAAGGAAATCCACCCTTACTTGGCAATATTCTCTGTTTCATCATCGGGTCAACGGCTTTGCAATATAGACATTCATACATATGGATGCACATTTTTTACATTTATCAATTAAAAATATTACAACTTTTTCTTCTTCATAATTCAATTTGCATACTTTTAGCTTCCCTATGTAGTAAATTAATTTTGCTCGCGGCTAGTTGTTCTCATTTTCATCGCTTTACCCCTTACCAAATATAAAAATATTTAAAAAAAAAAAAACTAAAATTCATTAACTTTTATTTAAAGCGAAAATAACAGACGATTGTAATTACTCAGTCACTTGCTTCTTTATTGTTATTCCCACGTTTTTTCGTACGATTAATGAGCGTGAAATATTTTCACAATTTTTGCTTTGCTTTTGTCCGTTGTTATTGTACGTACATATAAATGTAAGACACAAAGACCGCAGTTGAGCAGACAACAGGAAAAAAATAAGCCTTTAATTTCAGTTTGAATGCTTTGCTTCGCTGGCTTTCTTTCTTTCTTTAACTCCTTTTGTTGTCACACATATTCTAATATGTTATTTTGTTCAATTGTTCTGCGGCTGCGTGTGTGTGTGTGTGTGAACCATTTAAGCATTGCACAACAATAACGCTCAATTGTTTCTGCACTCGTAAGCACCCCCCATTGGACTGTCCAACCAGTCAGTGCGGTCAAAAATTCTCCCCACCCTTCTCCCTTCGCTCTTGCGCACATCTTATTGTCGGATCGGTTTATGTTGGTTATGCACTTGCTTGTTTATACGAGGATTTAGTCACACTTTCCAGCCGCTTAACTGCTCACACGCCTAGCAAATGTTTGCGTTCACTCACTTACTTTTCATCCTCAGTTTTACTTTTGTTATTACATATTATTATTATGTATTATGATTTTGTTTTTCTTATTCTTATGCAGCCTTCCCGTCCTTCGTTGCGGACTTTTTTCCCAGCCGCACTCATTTATCCCGGCTTAAATTCATCGAACTGCTAAATAACACCAAAAACTCGTCTGTCAGCCCAACGCTGCTGGACACCAAGTACGCTTCGATGCTTTAGCTGGCTTAGTTTAACGAACCATCATGCCGCCCTCAATATATATTTTTAATAAAATAAATTCATACACATACAAACATATCTACATTACAAAAATTCTTGTATCATAAGAAACAAAAAAAAAAACAAAAAAAAAAACAAAAAAAAAACCAATTTAGTGACGCAAGAATAATAACAAAAATAAAAAAGAATACAAAAAAACACGAAAAAAGAGTTGATGAAAAATCTTTCGAAAACGACACCACCAACGACCACTTCATCGTACATTGCCTTCATTGACGTTGGTCCTCTTCTTTTTCTTGCCTCACTGACTTGTGTTGTTGTTGTTTTGTTTATTTATACCAACATTGCCAGTAAAAGTACAAAACGGTTTAGTTGCAGGCTGAGCTGCGGCCGTGTTGTATGTAACCGGTCGGCTGACTGGCTGACTGGCTGCCTGGCTCTTATGTTCTTCTTCTGCGTACATTCGCTTCAGTGCAACGCCACTTGGCGTGGGTATTAACCTTATGTTGAAGGGCTCGTTCCAATTTTGCTGCAAGTACAATAAATATGCTTTGCAACCACATACATACATAAGCATATATTTCTTTAAGCATTTCCATGCAGATTATATGCTGGCTCACAGAAGTTAGCTGCTTTGATTGTAAAGCAGATTTAATTACTCTCAACCTCTACGGCGCCTCTATTTCGAAACCGGCCTAAGAATATTGCCACATTAGCTGCTAGAATAGGGCATGAACTAAAATAATTACGATACTTAGTTTCAGTTCAGCACAGAGCAGCACACAACAAATTATTTTATTTAATTAAAATTTTCTTAAGGTGATCGCCTTTCGACTGGGAATGTCCACACCTCCGAGGGTATTTCTGATATAGCTTAAAATATTATCTTAAAAATCCATCAACCGTTCGAAAATGGCTTGAAATTTTACTAACATCAAGTCGCACCCCAACAATTGGATGTGAAACAAAAACCATGCTGCTCATCGCTGTAACAATCTAGTAAAAGACCTGGCAGGAAGATGAAGAAGGGAAATGTATTTAGTAGAGTATTTTGTTGACTAATTGGAAGAGTTCTTTTTTTTTTTTTTAACGATGATCCCACCATCTGCCCAACCGGTACTTCAGACTGCCCTGTATCAAAGAACGATCGTAAAAGGTCGCGGTTACACTTGCCTCTTACACTTAACAGCTACAGATTGGCTCATCAGCTGCTATAAATTACAGGGAAAAAAGAGAAGGAAACACCGTTAATAATTTAAATTACTTAGTAAGTAAGTATTGATACGGAGGAGAAATCAATGCTGGCATTTTAACTTAAGCATGATGTATGATGACTTAGGTGTACGTACAGGGGATCCATTCAAAAAATTAAACGAGCTTTCATATTTCTTCCTAAAAATTTGTTTCGTCCACTTGGAAAGTAGGCTCCACAAATATAATACACTTGCACTTTTCATACGCAATTTTTGGTATGTCCCTGATCTCTTTCTTTTTATCTCCCTCATTGTTGCAAAATATCATCCTTTCGTGGATCTCTAGTCCTGATGTATCGTACATTATTACGTGGTAAAAGCAACCAAGTCAAAAAGCATAAACTAATTTTTTCACAATTTCTATTTCTAGATACTACTTTTTTTGATTGTGCGATCTTGAGATGAGAACACCTAATTTTCTATGTCGTGAGAAACGAAAGAAATTGTTACCAAGATGCTGATATATTATCAAACTCAAACGGTCTCTCCTAGGCTATTCCATTTGAGAAGATCATTATAGATCTCATTTCAAAGCGTTGTTCATGCCCAAATATCCTAAGCAACGTCTCTGAAAGTAATTCCACAACACTGCACAACATTTTCTTCACTTTCTCATCATTTTCATCGGTTGTTGTCAAGCTTTTTGATTCTAATTTTTTTAGAGAAAATTTAAAATTGTTTTCATATGAATCAAATGTTATGTTGACTTTGGTCCGAAGTATGTATGCAAGTATCTAAAGGGAAACAGATAGACCCCTCATACCGATCATACCGATCGGATCAGAATGGCGTGTGTAGATTGAGAGCGTGAAATTTGTTACTGAACATCAACGAAGCCCCATTACAAGCAATTCGTTCAGATATGGGCTTTTTGGGTCAAACATCCATAAAAAAACATCTAAGTGTATGAGAATTAGTATGCTAAACACATCCATTCCAATATTCAGTACCTGTTTTTTTTTATTTCAAGAGAAGAAACAATTTCTCCGTAAACGAACGATTGACGAGTCGAAAAGCAGAGCTGAAATGACGCTCATCCAACTTGAGAAACCTTTAGAGAGTATATGTTTGGTTCTGATTACTGTTATATGCTGGCATATTGGAAAGGACCAATTATTGTATATTCTCGATTTTGATAAATATTTCTGTAGTGAAGCCATGAGAGTGGATCAATTCAAAATGTTGCTCCAGTTTGTTTACCTTCTTGATCTAACAATCGTTCTGCACTTATGATGAGAAGCAAATCCGCACTTTGGATTATGAGGAATAACAATCTTTAACAGTCTTATACACCAAAAGTGGCAATTATAATGAACGTACAATTTTTTACCTTCCCATGATGAAGAAGCATAGTTATTCCTCTCGAACACTGTGTTGCAATAACTTTTCACATTAAAAATTTAACTAAAGAAAAATTATGGCTTCAATATTTTCGAAAATTATTTCGAAAGTAAACTGTATGTGTTGGTGTGCACAAGAACAAAGCATGCCAGACGATTGTCATCAGGCTTTAATTTCGCAAATTGCGGTGTAAAGAAAAACCGAAATTTAAAATGAAATCCTCGTATAAAGCCAATTTCATTCATATGTATGCTTGCACTGCATTTCTTTACCGCAATGACAAGTCTTTTTATTACATTTACTCTTTGACATTTGATTATTTGTGTTTTATTTACCTTCACATTTATTTTTAATATTTTCTCTCTGCCTTTATTTCGTTACAGCTTATTGAAATGTTTTTCACAACCACAGACTCAGCTAAAAATAGTAGTTAACTAAATGTATGTATGTAAGTAGGAACAAAAAAAGGTACATTTGAAAAAAATAATGCTCTTGATATTACTCGAACGTTCGATTGCATGTGCTAATGCTGCATCGTAACGATACAATTTATGGTAAAAAAAGATTTCACTCGATTCGGTGGAAACATTGGGTAATGTTATCGTCAAAAAAGTTATCGGAATAAATTTTATTCCGTTTTTACCCGCAACGAAATGCTACCGTTAATGTTAGATCACTAACAGACAATGGAAACGTTAAAATTAAACTGTGATGTTAATATCATAGCTGGCAGCCACTTTAAAATTAACGTTAATGATGGAGCGTTTAGTTTATTTTTGACATTAACTAAACGAAATGAGTGAAACTATTCGAGTAATATCGCGATGTAGATTATTCAAATATTCGCAATAAGTATTTATTTTAAAGTTTTTAAACCATGGAAATCGAATTCGCTGAAGCGCTAAAGGATAAAAGATTTCCGAAGATTTTCTTGTTTCTTGGCAATCAAAAAGTCTTTTTAAGATGCGACTCTATCGAGTGCAGCGAATCAAAGTTTTCATTTCAAATATTCGATTAAACGAATATCGACTCTTTGGTAAATAAACTGTTTGCGTTTGCACGTATCCCTACAGGGAAAAGTTAGACTATTACGCACAAATTCTAGTTAAATACTAATACTAATTGAAGAGAAATTGAGACCAGTTACGCTCTGTTAAAGTGCGCAACATGGCGATGGTAACGTTTGCCGAGTGTTTAGAGGTTATTGCAGTAGCGCGTGAGGTTCTCGGTTCGAGTCTCGCTTGCTGGAAATTCACTTTGGTTTTTTTTTTTATATATTTAATTTATAATTAAGTTTGATATTTTTTTACTTATAATTTGGTAATTTTTTTGCACTAAAAATATATGCCATAAAACCAGTCGGTAGAAGGAAGCGAAGTAGACCTCGCATAAGCTCGATCGATAGCATAGAAGAAGATGCAAGAAAGATTGCAGCGACCAACTGGAGGATAGACACTAGTGGAGGCGAAAAGAGCTCTTGATGGTGAAGGGTAATTTTCAATAAACATGCAATTCGAGTAACCGACTGAGTTTCATTTCCAAATGAGTTCGGTTGAAGTGCGTGGATCCCTTTGTTCTCTGCGTCGTAACGAAATCGTAGTGGTTATAGGAAACTCTTTGCAGGTAAACACGCTTTTATATCCCCTTTTTCTTGATAAAGTAGAAACTCTACGTGTTTCGTTGGACTAGTATGCAACTAATATAAAGCTGATGTAAAATCGGACAGTTAGCAGTTCGTAGGACAGCAAGGTGTTAAAAATACTAAATGGTGACAGGAAAAATAGATGGAAAATGTGGTAATTAAAGCAAAAACAACAAACCAGTTGGATTCTCGTTAACCTAGCTGTTATTTTTCCCTGCAGGGATATTTCAGAATTGTATGTATGTTTGTGTATGTACATGTGCATGAATGTATGTACCTACTTTTGTACCTTCATACTCCGTTTCTGTGTGCGAGATTGTTTGCAAAATCAAAGATTGCGGTGACGGTTCAACTCTGCGGTTCTGCTGAAATTTTGAGTTTGACTTTATATGGCAGTTGGTCGAAGCTGCTTAGCTGACAGAGTTCCATTGCGGCTTTATGGCTTAAAAGCTTGTAAAAGTCACTCAGCATCAGTCTCGCTTGCTTACTGCAATGTAATCGCCATCAACATTGATGACATCGTTCTTGTTGTTTTTTTTTTATTTTTTATTTTTTTTTTTGTATTCGTTTTTGTTACTTTACTCCTTATACGCACTTACCTTTTGTAACTTTTGAAGTTTTTGAACTTATTGCGTAGATTGGCAGATTATTATCTCTACAAAACATATATCGCCCTATAGGGATTTGTAGCGCATACGCAACTACGAGTAAGTAAGTTAGTAAGTAAGTACAGTTTACAACTTGTACCTGCATACATATATTATGTATGTACATATACCACACATGCATATTACCCGGTTTGACGTTCAAACGTATTTAATATGTAAATAAATGTTTTTCCCTAGTGCAGCCAACATTCTGATTCGAATCTACGAATGAGCGAAGTAAAAATTTATTTGCTGAAATTTGAATTGTCATAACAACAAAAAAAAGAAAAGAAAAAATAATAACAAAAGCTCTCTTTAGGAAAAGAAAAAAGCTAGCGTTGACGATGTTAATCAGAGTCCATGAAAGCCATAAGAGAGAAAAGGGCAGCAAATAGAAAAAAAATCGGAAAGGCTGAAGGAGCTCAAGAACTCGCTACGGGAACTCAAAAAATGTTGACACGAGTCATACATACATATATAATAATGATCAACCGAACTCCTCCTCCAATTTGTGGTTTTGCGTCTTGATGTGTTTCCAACAAAAAGTTGAACTCCACGCCGAATCTGCACGGCAGATGGATTTATATGTAAGGAGCTTTTCGTTGGCCCACTTAATTGTAGTTTACACTGCTAACCACTCGGCCAAATTTTTTCTGCATGATGATTGATTTAATTGTATGTAATATTACAAGTATTTTTAATGCGTTACGAATCTAACAGTTTTTCAAGGGTTTACTTCCATGCAACTGTGGAACTTATAGTAAAGTCCTTTTGTTGGTTTCGTAGATCAATAAATATAATATTATTGCAGCGATTTCCACGTAAGCCAGTTAAAATAAATTACAGACCTGACGTTCAAGAACGCTAGCGACATGATAATCTTATATAAGAATTAATTTAAAGGGTTTTCCAATAGCTATGTTAGGGTTTCTAAGCGTCATTTTGGCCATTTTTAATATTTCATGATCTGTCTTTTTTTCATTGTATTCAGTAATATTTACAATCTCATCGTGGCAAGAAATATTATACAACGTTTACAAAAACAATAGCAACTTGAAAACCAAAACGATTTTTTTATGAAAATCATCCTCTCCGTTGAGGCTCACTTTCATCTGAGTGGGACGGTAAATTAAAAAACTGTCGATCCAAAAATTATGCATAAACAACCGTAACATTCACCTAAATTGTTAAAGTTTTGTGTGGTTTTTGGTCTGGTGGAATCATCGTTCTGTACTTGTTTCGTAATGAAGCTGGTGGCAGCGTTTCAGTCAATGTTGAGCAGTATAAATCGATGATAACCAACTTTTTATGGCCGCAATTGGATGAAGTTGATCTTAACAACATCTGGCTCCAACAAGAACAAGTCTGGGCTACGTGTCACAGCACGTGCAAAAAGCTAATAACTGGCGTAGAGACCGGTTACACGATTTTAGCCGAGTTAACAACGTTGCGACATTCGTTTCTTCTCTTTGCTGTTTGGCGCCAATTGGAAATACCAACTACAGTCAGGTCCTTCACTACCTGGTCTTACCAACGGAGTGGAGATCTTCCTCTTCCTCTGCTTCCACCGGCGGGTACTGCATCGAAAACTTTCAAAGCTGGAGTATTCGTATCCATCCGGACCACATGACCTAGTCAGCGTAGCTGCTGGTTTTTGATTCGCTGAACTAAATCAATGTCGCCGTATAACTCTTACAACTCATCCTTCCATCGTCTGCGATATTCGCCGTTGCCAACGCACAAAGGACCATAAATCTTACGCAGAACCTTTCTCTCGAAAACACTCATCAGATGTTGCCGTCGTCCATGCTTCCGCACCATTTAGCAGGACGGGAACGATGAGGGACTTGTAAAGTTTGGTTCTCGTTCGTCGGGAGAGAACTTTACTTTTCAATTGCCTACTCAGTCCAAAGTAGCACCTGTTGGCAAGAGTTTTACTGCGCTGGATTTCAAAGCTGAAAAGAAATCATATCACTCCTACATATTAATTTCAAAGCAAATTCTTAAAATTGGAAAACACAACCGTAAAATGTTCGTTTCACAAGGAATGACGATTTTTCATTCTGATGAGACATTAAACGAGGGGCTTCGTTCTTGTGTAAGATGTTCTTGAATTTCAAGGTCCGTATCAGAGAAATTATATGTATGTACTTGCCTAAGAGGGAGGTTTTCTTTTTTTGTGATAAAAATAAATCCACATTAGTTGCATGACTGTCTCAGTAATATGACAAATGGAGGTTGGAGCACCTCCTGTTAAGTCAGGAAACAAGGCTCAATTTGAAAAATTTTTAAATTTCCTTTAAACAGGTTTTATACCTTTCATGAGCATGACGTGGTCTATTAATTTTGGTCCGAAGTACACATGTCCAAAAGTATCTTGAGGAGAAGATGAGTCTATCAAAATTTATGCCGATATGGTCAAATGGCATTTATAGTTTGTATGTCTGTTTGAACGCAAACTAGTCCCTAGAATGCGTGAACATTTGTCTGGATTAGCCATGTCATTATATCCCATATAACCGATTTGTTCAGATATGTGGTTTGGGTTCACAACTTCGTCAAAAAAAAAAAAAACATCTAAAAGCGTGAATATTGGTATCCCACAAATTCAAATAAATATTCCCCTACAACCGATTTTTCTGATAGAAGATTTTAATTGAAATCTTCAAAAAAAAGAGGGCAATATTATAAATTTCATATACTCCTGTAATGGACATAAAGCGAACTTGTTTCTCTTTAGAAAGAAAATTTTAATCTTTCTGCTGAATGGATCGTACAAAGTTGAACGAAGCGGTTGCGGTGGTTAAATCTTTTAAATCACCAAAAAAAAAGATGAAAGTACAAAGTATTTATGGAAATCGTTTAATTTGAATTCCAAAAAACGAGCGTGAAGGAGGTTTCGGCCTATTTTGACGCTAAAAATAAAATACATTTACATTTTATTTTTATCATTACATTTTATCCCCCATTCTGCGATCCTAAAAACGTTCCCTCGTATATATAAGTATATATTTTTTTTTGATGCGTATAGATTTTTGTTTACAAAAACCGAAACAAACTGAATTGATCATTTTTTAGCTTTCATTTTAGACTCATTTAGCTGAATCGCTGGAAAAATCTGGCAACATTGCTCACTAGTTAATAACAATAATTTTCGAA